TATACAACACACACACAGAACACACACACACACACACACACACACCACACACAGTTACACATAATATATATATATAGTAGATAATATACGATATAGATATATTAGATAATAATATCTATGTTATATGGAAAGATATATATATATATATATATATACATATATATATATATGTACATATATATACAAAACACACACACACACACACACACACACACACACACACACACACACATATTACACACACATATATATATATAGATATATAGATATTATATATATTTATATATATATATATATAGAATATATGTGTTGTGTGTGTGTGTGTGTGGTGTGGTGGTATGTGTGTGTGTGTGTGTGTGTGTGTGTTTGTATATATAGGTACATTATAGAGTACATATATATATATAGAGATATAATATATATATATATAGAGTATATATAAATATATTATAGAATATATATATATATATAATATATAGTAGATATGAAATGACGCGATAGACTCAGTTGTTAGAGCACTGAGAATCCACCCTCGTGGTCCCGGGTTCAATTCCCCATCGCGGGCAGTGTAAAAAATGCCCCTGCGCTCTGACTGCTACCCAAGCCGAGGGGAAAACGACATATCGGCTTGGAGATAGTCAAAACGCAGGTTGTCGTAGGGAAGCACCGCCGTGGCAAAATGTTCACGCGCCGAATGCGGTTGATTAGGAAGGAATTCAATCAGGCAACGGTGACACCGCCCATATAAACCTCTCAACTGAATTGGAGAGATGCCTATGTCCTGCAGGGAATGAATGGCTGTGCCCCCCAAAAAAAAAAAAAAAAAAAAAAAAATATTCCATTATATATATTTATATTATATATCTACATAATATGTGTGTATGTGTGTGTGTGGTGTGTGTGTGTGTGTTTGTTTATATATATGTACATATATATAAATATATATCTCTTATATATATATTATGATACATAATACATATATACATACATAACATATATACATATATATATATATATATATATATATATAGATAATATATATATATATACATATATATATCTATGTGTCTCTATAATATATATATATGTAATATGTAGTATATATTGATATATGTATACAGAATAGATATTATATATATTATTATATATATTATATATATATACTATATATATATATGTACACTACATATGCCCAACCACCCCACACACACACACACACACACACACACACATACACCACACATATATCTATATATATAATATATATATATATTATATATATATATAGATATATATAAATATATATAAGAGACATATATTATATATAGAATAGATAATAGTATATATATTTATAGTATAGATTAGATATATATAATATAGGACAGATATATAGAAACCCCACACACACACACCACACACACCACATCACACACACACATACAACACACATATATATATATAATATATATATATATAAGAGACGAGACAGAGATATAAGAGAGAGAGAGAGAGAGAGAAGACAGAAGAGAGAGAGAGTAGAGAATGATAGAGAAGAAAGTAGGATCTATCTATATGATGCTATATATGGGAAGAGATATATATATGATCTATAGAGATATATATAGATATATAGATATATAAGATAGATAAGAAGTATATGGACATATATATGATATGTATATAAGACCATTATATATAGATACGCATAGATATAGAGATAGATCGTATATACATATATAGAGGTAAGAATAGAGATATACCATACGAGAGAGAGAATAATAATAGATATAGAGAGATAATATTGTATATATATACATATAGATATACTTATATATATATAATATATAGAATATATAGAATATATTACATATAATATAATTATATCTCTATAACATATAATTATAATATATATAGATATGATATATAGAGTACAACATTATATATATATCTAATGATTATCTAAGAATATCATCTTTTGCCTCTATGTAGAAACACACACACCAGACACACACACACACACCACACACACACACACAACACACCACACACACACACACACACACACACACACACCACACAACACACATACACACACATACCCCACACACACACACACCACCAACACACCACACACACAAACACACACACACACCACCACCACAAACACACAGAATATATGAGATATTATGAGATATAGATATATATAATATATATATATATATAATTATAATATATATATAGGCATATATATTCAAATAACACACACACACCAAAATATATATATATAAGATAGATATTTCTATAGAGAGTAGATATATTATATAGATAGAGATTAGAGATATAGAGAGAGAGATGATAGGAGACCAGAGATCGGAGAAGACGGAGGAGAGAGAGCGAGAGAGATAAGAGAGAGACGAGAGAGATATAGATAGAGATAGGCGAGAGTAGAGCGAGAAGCAGAGAGGGACGGAGAGATAAGAGAGAGAGAGAGACATACAGA